TGTAGAATTGAGCAGCTTAAGACAACATAACCATGTTACCTTGCACAGGTTGAGAGAGTCTGGAAACTAGGAGGGAACAGCTTAGCTGGATGTTCTAGCTTAGGTCTCATGAGGCTGAAGGCAAGATGCCAGCCAGAGCTATAGACATCTGAAGCCTTCACGGGCTAGAGGACTACTTCTCACACATCTCTCACATAGCTGTTGCCTGGAGACTGTAGTTCCTTGCTGGCTATTGGCAGGATGCTTCATTGGGGTGCTTCAGTGTCCTCTCAGAATGGCAGTGAGCTTCTCCCCAGAGTGAGTGATCCAAGAAAGAGAGCCAAGGGACCAAGTGGTGGTGCAGCATGGATGGTGGCATGAAGACAGGGGTACCCCCACCCCAGCTCTGTCCCTCTCTTTCATGGAGGAAACAAACATAGAAATAAGCGAGCAAACGAGTAAGAGATTCAATGCCTCTTATGACCTAGTCCTGGAAGTCACTCACCATTCCTTTTACCATAATTCATTCATTGGAAGTGAATTATTAAGTCTGGCCTATACTGGGAGGGCAGGGAGGTTAAGCTCTTCCTTTTAAAGGAAAGTATGTTGAAATATCTATAGATGTATTTTAAAACTACCATAGGGCTAGCAAGTGGTGTGGTGGTTAAGGCACTGGATTATGACATGGTAGACCAGAGTCTGTGTCTTGGACCTGGAAGCTTGAAAATCATGCTGGGCACATATGTATGCATGCCCCAAATCCCAGGAGGAGAATGGAGAAGGGATTGCAGTGTGGCTGTCCCCCGGCGGGTGGTTTCTCACTTTCCCTCTCTGTTTCTCTCCAGTGAGTGCATGTCCTCTATGGCAAAAACTTAAAATGATCCATCTAACCAAACAAACAGAACTACCATGGACATACTATGCTTTGAAGACAAATAGTGTTTTTGAAATAAATTCAAATAAAAATGTCAGGAAGGAACTGGCAGCTCTAGAGGGCCAAGTTACATACACATGGAAGCAGGTGACAGCTGGAGATTAAAGTGTCTAAGATGGAGAAGATAAGTTTTTTTAATACTCTCTCTCGACCAGTCCCATTATCAATGATCACTGTTTTCTTTTCCAGATTATGCTATTCCAGTTAATAACCTTTTAAAGATTCTTCATTTTTAATCTCTTGTATTGTGTGTGTGTGTGTTTTCCCCTCTGAAGCTGCTGCTTATGATAAATTTCAAACACAGAAAAGTTGAAAGATTGGTATAATGAATGTCCATAACCCCACTATTTAGATTTAGTAATTAGCATTTTGACTTACTGGCTTTTTCTTATTTATAACTTTTTTTCTGAACCATTTATTTGGTGGCATTCTTTTGTAAAGAAGGGTTTCCCCTTGACCTTTGAATAGACATAGATCTTAAAAAGGCAAGGGTGGGCCAGCCAGTGGCATGGTGGTGAAGGTGGCTGGATTTCACATGGCCAACTGCGTGGTTGGAGTCCATGACCCAGTAGCTTGACAAACATGGTGGGTGCATGTGCATGCATGCCCAAAATCCCAGAAGGAGAAATGAAGGAGGGGGATTGTGGCATGACCATTGCCCATTGGAGAGGGGCTTTCTCTCTCTTTTTCTCTCTCTCCAGCAAGTGTACATATTCTCTAGTAAATTTAAAAACCAAAACCAAAACAGGTTTATGGGCTTAATTCTTTCCCCTTAATTAAGGATTTTCAGAGTGAAGAATTGATGTAGTGATCACCTACAATGCTAAGAAATTATTTAATTTTCCTTTTCTCTTTTGGCTTTCAATATCACTAGGAACTCATAGTCCAAAAGCTAGAAACATAAGTAATTTTTCTGTATATTGCCAAATATTCACAGAGGTTGTACCATTTTGCACTCCCCCTGCATTGTAGGAGCCGGGTCCCTGTTTGTTCATAGCCTTGCCAAGAGAGTCTGTTGTCAAACATTCGAATTTTCGCAAAACATAAGTGACAAATGGTATCTTGGTGTAGTTTTAGTTTATATGTCCTTTATGAATGAGGCTGACCACCTCTTTTGTATTTAAGAGATACCACCTTCCTCTTCCTGTATTCTATATGTCTGTGTCTTTTTCCTATTTTTCTGACAAAATTTTGGTCCTTATCATTTTCTGAGTTTTCTCTATAGAAAGGGGAGATTAATCGCTCATTTATCTTATATTTTTCTTTATTTGTGATTGAGCACATGTGCCTACACATTAGAGTGAGAGAGAAAGGAGCATCTTCCACAGGGTCTGATCACACTGTGATCCCTTTCCTCCAGGCCTCCAGCCCGTCAGACCCTGGACACTTGTGTTTATGTCCGGTGTGCCTGAGGTCACAGTCACCATGCGAGGTCCCAGTTTTTTGATAAGTGTGTTACAGTTGCATCACAGAGCTGGCCCTAGCTCTTCGTTTCTTATAGAAGTTGACATTTTTTTATTTGCCTATGACATTTTTATAATATGTGAAGATTTATTTACTGAATGTACTGGTCTTTTTTTGTTGCTTTTGGATTTCCAGCCACAGTTACGAAGGTGTCTCCCACACTTGGGTCCTAAAGGGATATATTTACCTGTGTTTACTTCTAGTACTTGTGCAGTCCCTCTCCTTCTCTCTCTCCCTTCTCCTCCCTCCCCCTTTTCCTATCCCTTTTCCTTTCTTTCTCCCCCCAATTAATCTTTCTCTTAATGTTTTGAACTCTGAACCATTCAGAATTTATTTTGGCATGTGCTGGGAGGTATGGGTCCACTTATTTTTCCAATGACTAGACTGTTGTCCAGTATTTTCCCAGTGATTTGAGATACCATCTATGTACTATATCATGTTTCCAAAAGCTTTTCAATGTGGGGATTTTCTATTATTGGATTTTTCTTTTCTGTCCCTATAGAAGTCTGGATCCAATCAGGAGATAGAAACCACACAGAAGTTTATTGAGGATTGTTAACTATCATAAGAGATTAAGTATAAGATATAAGGAAACTGTTTGGTACCCTAGAGCTAAGGGAGAATACCCAAGCAGGACAAACTTGGAAGGGGTTCAGACCTCATTGCAAAAGGCGAAGGTCAGCCACAAACCAGCAGAGATGTTCGTCGGTGTAGCAGGTTGGAGTTGGTCTGGAGTTGCTGAGCCCGACCAGGTTCCATCCGAAGGGAAGGAGGCAGCTGACGATCATCCTGCAGTGACTTGGGTGTTAAGTGGGGGTCCAGGTGCCCTTTGAGCGCAGAAGGTCTTCAAAGCATACAGGATGACAATTCTGTACCATAAGTGACTTCATGGTATGTGACCCTTTGAGCCACAGACAAACAGCTGGCCAAGGCTGCAAGGTTGCAAAGGGACCTTGTTATGGGCCAGTAGCTGAGGCAGGCCTTCCACTTGCTAGTCTCACAGTCATACCACTAGCCTCTCCAGGGGTCAGACATGACAGCAAGCCTTTTCTGCTACATGTCCCTCTAGCACCCTCTACTGAGAAAGCTTAACACTGAGTTTACTTTAAATACTTACAGGAACTGGGAACCAGCAGTTAGCGTAATGGCTATGTCGCTGGACTCCCACGTAGTCTACCGCGGTTCACGTCCCGGACCCGGTGGCTTAGAACTCACGCCGGGCGCGTGTGCGTACGTGCCCAAGATCCCGAGAGGAGGATGGAGGAGAAGGGATTGTGGCGTGACCATCCCCCCTGGGGGGTGATTTCTCGCTTTCTGTCTCTCTGTCTCTCTCTGTCTGTCTGGCGAGTGCACGCGCCCTATAGCAAAAAATACCTCTCAAAATAAATAAACAAATACTTACAGGAACTCTGGGTAGGGATCATATAGGGGGAGGTCTTCCAAAAGTTCACAGGGAGTGTGCATAATGAAAAGACTGTGCATGGATTTCAAATTTTTTTGCACCAAAATAAACTTTCACTTTAATTCTGGTTTTCCATGAAATTTTGAAGTCTTCTGTATTGAAGTCCTCTTCAAAGACAAGGGGCAAAAGATTAAGTGATATAGTTACACTGGTGAATCTATTCATGTACTTTTAAAAAAAACTATAGATGATTCATAGTATTCCAATATTTATTTATTCTAGCTCTGCTCATTAATCTTCTCTTTTACATGGCTGTTCTTTTTTTTTCCATAAAAACTTCTAAAGAAATTTATTCCAAAAAAAGAGAAAAATCTTGACATTTTTATTTAACCCTTGTGGATTTTTCATTTAAGTTTTAAAGGCTATTTTATAATTATCATGGTAGAAAGATTCTTGTGGTTACAAATAACAGCAAAAAAAAAAAAAAAAGAGTTCCTCCTCACATTCTTCACCCTCTGAGGTTAATATTTTTGTAATATCTTTCAGCATGGATTTGTAATTCCATTTAAACTTATAATTTTTTAAAATTAATTTAATTTTTTAAAATTAATTAGGTTTTTGCCATAGGGCATATGCACTCACCAGAGAGAGAAAGAAGGAAAGTAAGTAATCACCCTCCAGGAGGGATGGTCAAGCCGCAGCCCATTCTCTTCCAGTCTCCTCTCAGGATTTTGGGTATGCACACACACCCCCCCAGGTGATTTACAAGCCTCCAGGCCCAGGACTCAAACCATTGTCAGCCATGTGGGAATCTAAGCATCTTAATCAGTATACCACCTGTTGATCCCTACATGTATATATATATTTTTTTTTTTGAGAGATTTTCACTGTAGGGCGCGTGCGCTCGCCAGACAGACAGAGAGAGACATAGAGACAGAAAGCGAGAAATCACCCCCCAGGGGGGATGGTCACGCCGCAATCCCTTCTCCTCCATTCTCCTCTCGGGATCCTGGGCACGCACGCACACGCGCCCGGCATGAGTTTTAAGCCACTGGGTCCGGGACATGAACCGCGGTCGACTACGTGGGAGTCCAGCGACATAGCCATTACGCTAACTGCTGGTTCCCCCTACATGTATATTTTTTTAAAATAAAAATGTTTAAACATGTTTTAATAGTTATGCTTATATTTCTAACTTAATTATATCTTTTTTTTTTATAGGCATTTTTGTCTGCCCATGGGTCTTTGAGAACATTATAATGCCCCTTTGTGCTTCTTCTCACAAGGAGTTTTCTTGGTTGCTACCTATTCAAGAAATGGATATCAAAAACTCACCAACTAGCCTTAACTCTCCTGCCTCCTACAACTGTAGTCAATCCATCCCGCCCCTGGAACATGGCCCTATATATATACCTTCTTCCTATGTAGAGAGCCGCCGTGAATATTCAGCCATGGCATTCTACAGCCCTGCTATGGTGAATTATAGCCTTCCCAGCAGCGTCAGTAACTCAGAAGGTGGGACCGGCCGGCAGACCACAAGCCCAAATGTGTTATGGCCAACTCCTGGGCACCTCTCTCCGTTAGCAATCCATTGCCAGTCTTCACTTCTGTACGCAGAACCTCAAAAGAGTCCTTGGTGCGAAGCACGATCACTGGAACACACCTTACCTGTGAGGTAAATCCTGTCTTCATTCTAAATTGTAGTTACGGGAATGATTCTAATCATTTTATGATTTAGTGGGAAGAAAGATATGTATCATACAAGATACTTTAATTACATAGAGCATCTAAAACATATGACTCCCGATTCTATTCCAACATTCTAATCCTCATTAAAAAGTCGTGCTTATTGTGGGGGAATTCATTTTCATGGCTACTGTCTTTATGTAATAAGAATGAACTTAATTGGAGCCGGCAGGTAGCGTGGTGTTTAGGGGCACTGGACTCCCACATGGCTGACTGTGGTTCAAGTCCTGGACCTGACACCTTGCTTTAATACTTTTCCTCTCTCTCACTCTGTCCCTTTCTGGTCAAATTGGAATAGATAAATGAATAAATGGAGTTAAATAATTATGAACTTAATCATTTTTCTCCTACTGAAGATATTTGGACTTAAAAATAGATGTTTACTTTCAGGTTAGAGTCTTTCTTTATTGAAATCACAAATTGTTTCTAGGGTAAAAGTAACTGGCAGTATAACCACTTAAGTGAAATACTGTTAATAGATGGGCGAAGCCTGAAAATGTAGACAGTTCATATAAGCTTCTTAACAACTAACGAAAATAATTACATTTTATAAAGATTAGTGGGGGGACCAGCAGTTGGCGTAATGTCTATGTCGCTGAACTCCCATGTAATCGATCGATCACAGTTCGAGTCCTGGACCCAGTGGCTTAAACTCACGTTGGGTGCATGCCTGAGATCCCTAGAGGAGAATGGAGGAGAAGGGATTGTGGTGTGGCCATCTCCCCTGGGGAGTGATTTCTCACCTTCTGTCTCTGTCTTTCTGGTGAGTGCACACACCCTATACCAAAAACCTCTCTTAAAAAAAAAAAAGATTAGTGGGAAACTTACTATTTTAATTTGCTAGAGGGCACATGTGCTTACCAGATACAGACAGAATGAGAGAGAGAGGGAAAGTGAGAAAGGCCCCAAATGGGGGATGGTTACACCATAATCCCTCCTCTTTGATCTTTTCTCTTGGAATTTTGGGCATGCATGCATATGTGCCAGGCATGTTTATCAAGCTGTCAGGTCAGGACTCAAGTCACTGTATCTAGGACTTAAACTTTGTGATTGGACATGTGGGATCCAGCCACCTTAACCATAATGTCACTGCTGTCTCCAACAGGAAACTGTTGGGTTATTGGAAGAGTCATGACATATTTTTCTGTTTTTTTTTTATGCAAAAATCTGTCATGACTATTCTGACAACCTAATAGTTAAGTGTAGACTTCAGCTGAAACTTTGCGGTTAAAAAGTATATTTGTACTTTTGAAATACAGGGTAATAGATTATTTTTGTCTGATTTGTACTATTTTTAATGGTAATTATGGTGGTCCGGCTCCATTGCCTGGTGGCTAAGGTAGTTGGATCTCACATGGCTGACTGTACAGTGGAGTCTTGGACCCAGTGGCTTGAAAAACATACAGGATATGCTCATGTACGTGCTCAAAATCTTAAAACAAGCGAGAAATGGAGCAGAAAGGATTGCGGTGTGATTATTCTCCATGGGGTGTGCTTTGTCCTCTCTTTTTCTCTCTGTCTGGAGAGCCATGTACCCTCTGGCAAATTAAAAAAAAATATATATATATATATACATAGATATAGAGAAGGCTTGATATAAGGAGAAAAGGGGAAGATAAACTTCTAAAAAACCCAAAGTACTGAGTTAGAGTATGTTGGATACTGACCTGACATTCATTACTTTTAAATGATGTTATAAGACCTTAAGAAAGGAATATTACATGGTAGTTTTAATTTTTCTTTTTAAAATAATTATTGGTAAAATAAGAGAGTATAAAAATTGTCAGTAATATTTTTAGTGTGATTTTTTTTTTCTTTTCATTCAGCCTTTAAAGGAAGAAATATTTTGTCTCTAAGCATACATTCTAATCAAAGTTCTGCTAATATTTGGCCCCATTTACAAACCAGTAATACTCTACCATTGCCTTTCCAAAAGAAGCAAACTTAGGAACTAGCCAGGTGTGGTTTTGGTGCCCCTAGGGCTTTCTCCCTGGGCTCTTCCTCCCGTAGGGACCAGCCTGCCCCTCAGCCTCCACTGAGCTCTGCTTCCTTCAAAGCCTGCTCAGGACAGGCACTTGCTTTCCCCTCTCTTCTCTCTTCTCTCTCTCTCTCTCTCTCTTTTTTTTTTTTCTCTTTCTAACCCCTTTCTCTTTCTCTCTTTCTGTTTTATTTTCTGAAGGGCATGTGTATTCTCCAGAAAGAGGGGGACAGGGAAGGGAGAAAACATCCCTCTCCCCATGGGGCATGGTTATGCTGCCATCCCTTCTCCTCCATCTCCCCATCCTGTTAGGATTTTGGTTAGGCATGCATGCAGTGCTCGGTGTGTTTTCAAGCTGCTGGGGCCAGGATTCAAACTACATGGTTGGCCACATAGGATCCAGATTCCTTAACCATTGGGATATGGGGCTAGTCCCTCCTTTTATTAACTAGACCATAGAATTCATCTTGGAGAGATTCTCGCTATAGGGCGCGTGCACTCGCCAGACAGACAGAGAGAGACAGAGAGACAGAAAGCGAGAAATCACCCCCCAGGGGGGATGGTCACGCCGTAATCCCTTCTCCTCCATTCTCCTCTCGGGATCTTGGGCACGCATGCACACGTGCCCAGCGTGAGTTTTAAGCCACCGGGTCCAGGACGCGAACCGCGGTCGACTACGTGGGAGTCCAGCAACATAGCCATTACACTAACTGCTGGTTCCCGATAGAATTCATCTTAATGTAACTTCAAGTTCATTTGTTACTCCTCTTATTTTATTTTCCATCTAGACCTTTCTCTGAAATTGCAACACAGGAGATTTTTGTCTGCCATTTAACTGGGAATCTCAAAGTCTGATGGGCTGCTTAGCAACACTGCTGGAAATAACCGAGGTTTGGAAATGGTTATGTGAATTTAGACCCATGTGTCCAATCTGACGAACTCCAGTAACTATAGAAAGCCACTCTACATCTTGCTTGTGGTCCCCTGTGGGTAAGATTCCACCTGCCCACTTTGTTATACTCAGATGCCCTCCTCCCATGGCTACCACAGACCTGTAGTAACTGGAGCTCCTCCACATGGCATGGATGGGCATGAACTCACTTAACCACTTGTACACATCAGTCATTCCCCAGTGGACCCCTTAATAGATCTGATATAAGTAATAAAGGTTTTTTTCTTATCCAATTTCCTGGAGGGCAAAGAGATCAAATTAGGTAATGTTCATGTTGTGTTTTTTTCTAGAAAGCTTTTACAATGGACGTTTTCTTTGTTGCCCCCAGAGAGACACTGAAAAGGAAGATTAGTGGGAGCAGGTGCACCAGCCCTGTCACTAGTCCAAGTTCAAAGAGGGATGCCCACTTCTGTGCCGTCTGCAGTGATTATGCATCAGGATATCACTATGGAGTCTGGTCATGCGAAGGTTGTAAAGCCTTTTTTAAAAGAAGCATTCAAGGTACAAGAGAATTATTCATTGTTTCTTTCTTTCTTTTTTTACTTTTGCTTTCAAATGTTTTTGCTGAGATGACCTGGTAGGAATTTCACCATTGATCTGTTTGGTACACAGAGTTCAGAGGATCATGTGTGTTCTGGAGTGAGTTGGGCACTTTATCTTCAGTTGCGTATTTCCACCTCAGAACCCTGGAGTATACAGCCAAATTACCCCCCACCTTCACCCACAGGGGTTCTGGGGAGAAGACATCTGGTGACAATCTTGTAAAATATTGCATGGGAAAAATGTGTTGCTCACTAGGAGCTGCAAAGAGTGTTTCTTCCTTTAACTTAGATGAGATATATGGCTTGTTAAACAGGCGTGGTGGGCTGGCTCCTGAGGAAGAAAGAATAAATACATTTTACAAAAATGGTCAGAAATAAAAAATCAACTGCAGCAGACTTTGAGAATTGATCTAGAGGCATGTCTTGCCCTGAACTAGTGAAGTTCAGAATTTCCCCATTTTCTGGGTTTAGACTGTTTCCTTAACCTTCTCCAAATTCCTTCTGGGCTAGGTTTTATTTTATTTTGGGGGAGGGAGTCTTAAGAATTTGCCTTTTTTTCCCCTAAAGGGCATGTGCACTTGCCAGAGAGGGGCTGAAAGAGAAAGAGAGGAGAAAGCACTTCCCATGAGAATGGTTACATCATAATCCCTTCTCCTCCATCTTTTCTTCCTTGGAATTTTGGGCACACCTGTCCCCGGAATGTTTCTTAAGCTGCTGGGTCTGGTACTGGATAGGCAGTTAGCCATGTGGGACCCGACTGCCTTAACCATCAGGCGTCAGAGCAGGCCTAACTCATTATTATTTTTTTAAATTATAGATTGTCTTTTTTTCTTTTTCTTTCTTTCTTTCTTTTTTTTTTTTTTTTTAATTTGTCAGAGGGCATGTGTACTCACCAGTTTGGGAGAGAGAAAGTGAGGAAGCACCCTCCATGGGGGATAGTCACACTGCAATCTCTTCTCTTGCATTTCTTTCTCCTTTTGGGATTTGGGGCCTCAGGCACAAGTGCCCAGCATGTTTTTCTAGCCACTGGGCCTGGGACTTGAACCACCTTGTTGGCCATGTGGGATCCAGCTGCCTTAACTGCCTCACCATTGGCTAGCCCTAAATCATCTTTTTTTAAAAAAAATTTTTAAAAAAATTATTATTTAATTTTATTTATTATCAACATTATTTTTATTTGGTACAGGGCACATGCACTCACGAAGAGAGACAGAGAAAGTGAGAAAGCAAGCTGCCAGGTCCAGAACTTGAACCGTGTCAGCTGTGTGGTGGGAGTTCCAACCACCATACCACCTGCTGGCCCCCCGAATCATTGTTTTAATCAGCTTTGAGTTGTGCACATCTGATTCCAAGTCTAGTTAGCCCATGTCCAGGCAGTGTCTTTGCCATGTTCTTCGTCCCTTGCTAACCCTGATTCTCTGAAGTGACTTTCCTGCTTACTTGAGCTCTCCTCTGTCTCTGCTTCATAACCTTTCCCTCAACAGTCCCTTCCCAGGCCATGTTCCCTCTTCCCTTATTAGAGCTCTCTTCTATTTTGTAATAAAGCCTCAGTGCCTTGTTCTTAACCAGTTAAGAAAGCAGTCTTAGCTCAGATGAAGCAGGTGGTAGGACAACACTGCCATGCTGGAGTCCCAAGGAAGACCATGGTTCGGATCCCGGGTCAACCTGAAACATAGAGTGTGCCCATGATCCTGGTTGGCTGAAAGGTGTGGGGTGGTAATGGCGGTGACAGCAGCAGTAGTGGTGTGTGTGTGTGTGTGTGTGTGTGTGTTGGGGTGGAACTGCAGCATGATGAGACCCTGTGGAGAGTGCCTGTTTCTCCCTACCCTCCATGAAAGAATTTTTTAAAAAAATATAAAGGAAAGTAATCTTAAGGGAGTTCATAGCTTGCAAAGGGTACATACCAATTTGCTAATTTAATCCACCGATGGGTAACTCTAGCAGAGGACGTTTAACCTCTAGCAGAGAAGCACTGGCAGATTTCAGGGGGTGGTGAGGAGCAGATTGTCAGTAAACAGTCTCCTTCCTGTGTATCCCTTGCAATTCGCCCTGTGTGGCTGGCTACCTAGATTCCTGGATTCTCTGCTCATTAGCTCTGTGACTGCATTTCCCAGCCTGTTTTCTCCCCTGAGAATTAGAGATACAGCATTGTTCTAAAGATGGAATGAAGTTGATTTTGAGAGGACACAGAGTTTAAATCATTTTATTTATAATCATTATAGCAGTAGCTTATAAGGCCAGGTACAGGTCCCTGAAATATGTAATATGAACAGTTTAGATTTTCTGAAATTCAATATTGAACTATTTTTTCCCCAGTATTTATTTGAAAATTGTTTCTGAAAAGAATTTTATTATTATTGTAAGCTTGCTATAGGGGATGTTGCTCACCAGAGAGAGAGAAAGCAAGCCACCAGGTCTGGAACATGAACCATGGTCACCATGTGGGAGTCTAGTACCTTAACCACCACATCACCTGCTGGTTCCCAGTAATGAG